AAACGCGGATAATTCTGTACACCCAAGGATTTGAAGACTCAAATTTCAACAGTGACCTGTGAACACTTTTACTGATTATAGCTTAGCTTAAAAATTCCCTTTTCTGAGACTTGTTGAATTTGTCCCTTGAATGACAACTCTCCCCTATAAATTTATTTTCGATCCTGTTATCTACAAATAGGATATTTTTACTTATTATTTTTCAGTCAAACAATGATTATGTTTTACTTTCATTAGGATTCAAATACATTTACGGCTATATGAATTAATGCATTAATAAACTATAGTTTCTGATAGTACGTTAGTTATCAAATAACAAGGATCCCAGTATGAAAAAGGGTCAAGAGGGGCGCAGTCATCCATGTGGGGGGAGATTTTAAGATTCTGTGGAATTCATCTCCTATACATGTAGATACATTTTTTCATCCATAAAACCAAATTTGTAGTTGTTTTATTTCGTAATAAAAAATACCACTAGCCAGAAAAATAGGGGAAAGTCTGGGATCTCAAAACAGTCCAAAATGGCGGCTTAACATCCATGCATAAAATAACAAGGTTATATATTAGGTTTTAGTTTGCTTTTCATAAAATTCATCAAAAGCCGGTGTCTTCTAACAAAAGAATTATTTCGTAAGACCTTCTCAATGGTTTTCTTGACAATAGCATGATAGATTTCTAAACTATAGACTAATGGATGTGATTTACCACCAGGCATTAAACCCAAATTAGATTTCGGGGAAGGGAGGGTTTGATTCTCCCAAATGTACAGGCCTAGGGTGGAGCAGACACTTTATTTAGAAATTAGGATTAAGGGTCTTGATATTGAGTTTTCTTCTGTTCTTATTCTGATCTGAAATTAGAAAAAATAACTCGCCCAATGGGCGAGAAGTATAGTATCTGTTATGTGCTGATTGTTTTTAGTTTACTATGAACAATATTATCATTTAAGTTCTTATTTTTTGAATATGCAACTATCATTTTCTGCTTATAGACATGGGGGAATTTCTCTTGAAGGCTCTTATAGTGGGCATGAACTATCTTGCTTGCTCGATTGCTGGTTGTATTAAACGGGACAACAAAGGGTGCTATGCCTACATTATGATGAATATTTAGTCCTATAGGTCTTGCTGTATTCAATGTCTCAATCCTCAAAAGATTGACGGAATTTGGTAGTTTCATCTTCAGGCAAGTCAATTTCTATACGCTCAATTGGGATTAGGGCGAGATCGTCTATTGAATGGTCGTCGAGGTTGAAATGATTAGAAACAGGCTTGTCTTTCTTTAATTTGATGTCTGACCTATGAGCATTAAAGCGAGTTCGTAAATTATTCTTAGTTTCTCCTACATATTGTTTGGGGCATTTCTTGCATGAAATTAAATATATTACATTCGAATGTTCACATGTTAGATGTTCCTGGATCGGGTACCTTTTATTCGTAGAGTTGCTTACAAAATAATGAGTTTCTGATATAAAGGGACATGTTTTGCATCTACTGGACAAACATGGAGCACTTCTTAAACCTGAAGGTACTTCGGCATAAAGTCTGTTTTTAGCTGCTATCTGTGCTAAGGTGGAATTTTTTATGTTTCGTAAAAATCGTTTAGAGTACCCACGCTCTTTCAGTTTTGAGAAAACAATCGTACAGGCTTGGTTGAAATCAGAAGATTTTGTACAAATTCGATGAAATCGTAAAACTTGTGACTTAATTATACCAGAAAAGGTATGTTTTGGGTGAAAGGAGCTCTTGTGCAAGAGTTGATGAGTATCAGTTTCTTTGAAATACACTTTAATATCCAGTTTATTTGTTTCTGCTATGGAATCTCCCTTAAAGACTGTGGTATCGAGAAAGTCTATGCTTTTGTCACTCACGTTTGCGGTTAGTTTGATAGAAGGATGGTGGTTGTTGAGAATTTCAAAGAATTCCCAAAACTGTTCGATCGAATAAGTCCAAACCATAAAAATGTCATCCAAAAAGCGTCCGTAAAAAAGTGGGTCAAATGGACAGAGGGGCAACACCTCACGTTCCCACTCTGCCATGAAAAGGTTTGCGTACGAAGGGGCGAATCGTATGCCCATTGCTGTCCCTGAAGTTTGTAAATATGTTTTACCATTAAATGTGAAATCGTTTCGACTAAGACAAATCTCTAAAAGCTGTAGAATTGCATCGTCGGGTCTGTTTGGATCTGGGTTTCTATTTAAAAGCTTTACGAACTGCCGTTAAACCAGCAGTGTTATCGATATTGGTATACATAGAAGAAACGTCGATAGAAATTAAAATAGCATTAGAGGGAACTCGAAGATTTTTTTATTTTATTGACAAAATCGGTTGTGTCTTTAAGGTAGGCGCGATGTTGACATGCTAGAGGTAGTAAGAAATGATCAATGTATTCTGACACTGCATATGACTCACTACCACAGTCAGATATAATCGGGCGGCCTTTAGGGATTTTATTCGAGATAAACCACTC